AGGCAGGGCTAAGGGTGTCGAGCAGGGAGTACACGGTTTCATGGTAGGGAGTCTGTAAGTCATGGTCCACGTGGTCAAAGGCGTAACCGACCACCTGAGAGAGAAGACAGCAGCACATTAACAAGCTCAGTGATGTCCCAGGTCAGAAGGGGAAACCCACATCTTTCCTTGGGTCAGTCGCTAACAGTGCTGTTTCTCAACCAATAATGAGAACACACACCCTACACATATTTATAAAACTTGAATACAACCCTTTGATGTTTACACAATTTATAAAAGATAAACAGTCCAAATAAGATGTTCCTTTTAGAATTCTTTTCCCAAAATGTAAAATGTTTAATATACTCCTCATTCAAAAAAATGTTGAGAAAGTATTTATAAAACTACACACACCCATCTTTCATGTTCATATTCCAAAACATGGTTCTATTTTTCACTCATTTCATCCTACACAGAGGAAGGATCTCCACAACTTGTCTGCCAGTTTGTTATACTGTGGTGGCTTGAATGATTGCTGGGAACTGTATCACCGGTATTTTAAATACCAGCAGGGCCACTTGTGGTGGATGAGCTTCTAGACTAGGAAGAAGGAGAGGCGGACTGAATGTTTATGCATTGAAAATATTATGAATAACAGTAGGACATTGTCAGATGTAGTACTGGAAGATGAGCCCCTCAGGTTGGAAGGCAACAAAATACAACAGGAGAAAAGCTCCCTCCTCAAAGCAGAGCTGACTGTGATGACGCAAACAGAGTAAAGCTTTCTGGACCTTCATTTGCTGATGGGGCACAACTCAAAATGAAGAGAAACAGCTGCAAACATTCATTAATAATCAGAGCATGGAATGTACGAAGTTTGAATCCAGGAAAATTGGAAGTTTTCCCAAAAATGAAATGGAACGCATAAACATTAATATCCTAGGTATTAGTGAGCTGAAATAGACTAATCTGACAATCATATGGTTTACTACACTGGGAAAGACAAACTGAAGAGGAATGGGGTCACATTCATCATCAAAAAGAACATTTCAAGATCTGTCTTCAAGTACAATGCTGTCTGTGATAAGTTAATATCCATACGCCTACAAGAAGACCAGTTAAAACCACTATCATTCAAATTTATGCACAAACCACTGAAGTCCGGAATGATGAAACAGAGATTCTATCAACTTCTTTAGTCTGAAACTGATCAAAAACCCACTCAAGATGTATAGATCATTACTGGTGATTGGAATGGGAAGGTTGGAAACAAAGAGGAAGGATCAGTAGTTGGAAAACATGGTCTTGGTTATAAAAACGAGGCTGGAGAAACAGATACAGACGGTGGTCCTGGGACACTGAGCTTCAGAAGACTGGACAGAGAGGCGGCCGGAGTGTTGCCTGGAAGTGGCAGCTGACCAGGAGCAGTGAGAGAGAAGAAAAACAGGTGGGTTAGCGGCAGTGTGGCCACCTTCAGCTTCTGCAAGCGGCTGCCAGTATGGTGGCCTGTGGGCACAAGGCTGGGCTGCAGGTGGGGGACAAGTGGGGTGCAGTTCTCCCTTGTTCTCTTGCCCTCTTGGGAGCTGGGCTATGGCCAGTGGCACCCCTCCACCGCATCATCTGCCTGGGATTCTTCTGGAGGTGTGTAAACCTGCCCTGAACTATGCTATACAAACAGTAAACAGAGCGGCATTCTCACTTCCGGTCTCTATCATCAAGGACAAGCAGTGAGGTGCCTGAGAACACACCAACACACGGTCATCGATTTAATGCAGATACAACGATACCACAATGTCTCAGAGAAAACAATGTCTGCTTACACTAAGAAACAGGACAGAAGGCCTCAGACAAATGACCAATAACATACAGTTAAAAAACACAGAAGCAGAAAAGGAATCAGAAGTACTTGATAAGGAATTTTAAAGAATGTTACTCAGGTACCATCAACAAAAGCAAAAGAATTCAGGAAAATAACATAAGAATAAACTGACAAAATAAATGAAAAAAATAGGAAACTGTACAAAAAACAGCAATCAGAAAGCCAGATATTTAATACTAAGACTTCAGAAATAGATAGCACACTGATCTGTGAACTTGAAGATAAATCTCTCAATATTCATCTTCAAGAGAAACAATCAGAAAAAAAGAATGAAAAAAATGCAAAGAATGTCTAAGATTTATGGGGAACCCTATCAAGAGAAGTTACAAGTTGACTGGAATATTCCAGAACAGGAAGAGACAGATAAAACTACTGAGAAAATTGCCCAAGAGTTCCCTAATATCATGAAAGATGAGAAGATAGCCATTCAAGAAGTTAAATGAACTCCAAACAGGAGAGATCCCAAAAGAAAATCACCAAAACATACTAAAGGGAGTTCTCTGGAGGCAGAACCAACAACAGACAACAACCTGAGACTAACATACGTGACAGTATCTCTCAGAACTCAACCCAGATAGAGACGTATTCAAAGTGAAACACACCTAGGAGATGGAAAAGAGGGACCCAGAAACACCAGTCTGCAACCATAAAAACCATGAAGTAGAAAAAAAAAAGAATAATGTAGTTACAGAACTTCCAAATGAAGGGGAAATCAGGTAGATTATAAGAAAACAATAAATAAACCTAACTGTAAGAGTAGATCAAGCCTGACTCTTAGCCCTAGTCCAACCCCCACACCCACAATTAACCCAAGTCCTAACCCTAACCTTAACCCTTAATGAATTCCTAGGCCTTGC